GCTCAGGCATTTGCCCAAGCTAAAACCTTGCTTGTGTTAACCGAATTGAAACCTCGGCTATGCACTAAACTGAGCTAAAACCTCGCTCACATGCTTAACTAAGCTAAAACCTTGTCCGTGTACATGACTGAGCTAGTAATTAATTGAGCTCAATGCCCAAGCTAGAACAGTACCCAAACATGCACGCTCAATTTAACCGAGCAAACCATTTAGAGCTTCAGTACACCTTTATGCCTTATCAAATTGCACTACTATTTAGTTCAGTCTACAATTGAGCATAACACACTTCATTTTCAACCGTGCAGACTCAACTAGGATCTGCCAAGCACACCTTCAATACTGCCCCTTGCGATGCTTAATACCGAGCAAACACAGGCCACACTAAGAAGCCGAACAAACTTCTAAACTTATTTAATTAAAACCGGACTCCATGGGCAAATATCATTTCATGGTGAGCTCCCATGGCACCATTACTGAATTCTGCAAGGATTACAACATTCCAAACAATGTAAATATTGAACTAGGTAAAGAGGGGATATTGCCATGGGACTGAGAAGGGTTTTGCCCCTTCACCGTGATATTCATTGTTGAAAGAAGGTTGCGTTTCCTGGTTCAACCTCTCATATGAAAATTCCTTAAGCAAACAAGACTCTACCTAACCCAACTTTCCACCAACACTGTGACACCTAATTATTTGATTAATTTCACCATGTATTAACTAAACATTTAATAAAATTGTGAGTGGTAGAATACAAATTAAAATTGAACTCAAAATTGGACTTAGTTCTTAAGAAAGAAAATAATCTATGGGCCTAGGTAAATAATAGGAATTTGAAAAAATAAAATAAAAAGTCCCCACTGGTTCTTCAACCTAGCATATAGGATGGTGAGTGTGCATGCATATCCTTGGTGAATCACCTAAAGGGACATGCAAAAATGTTAAAGGCCCCAAAAATTCTACCAAAAGTTCTACCAAATGTCTCACATGGGTGTGGGGGATATTTTTTTTTTTTTTTCAAATTCCTATTATTTACCTAGGCCCATAGATTATTTTCTCTCTCAAGAACTAAGTCCAATTTTGAGTTCAATTTTAATTTGTATTCTACCACTCACAATTTTATTAAATGTTTAGTTAATACATGGTGAAATTAATCAAATAATTAGGTGTCACAATGTTGGTGGAAAGTTGGGTTAGGTAGAGTCTTGTTTGCTTAAGGAATTTTCATATGAGAGGCTGAATCGGGAAACGCAACCTTCTTTCAACAATGAATATCACGGTGAAGGGGAAAAATCCTTCTCCGTCCCATGGCAATATCCCCTCTTTAGCTAGTTCAATATTTACATCATCTGGAATGTTGTAATCCTTGCGGAATTCAGTAATGGCGCCATGGGAGCTCACCATGAAGTGATATTGGCCCATGGAGTCTGGTTTTAATTAAATAAGTTTAGAAGTTTTTTCGGCTTCCTAGTGTGGCCCGTGTTTGCTCGGCATTAGGCATCCCAAAGGGCAATATTGAAGGTGTGCCTGGCAAATCCTAGTTGAGTCTGCAAGGTTGAAAATGAAGTGTGCTATGCTCAATTGTAGACTGAACTAAACAGTAGTGCAATTTGACAAGGCATAAAGGTGTATTGAAGCTCTAAATGGTTTGCTCGGTTAAATTGAGCGTGCATGTTTGGGCATTGTTCTAGCTCGAGCATTGAGCTGAATTAATTACTAGCTCAGTCATGTACACAGACAAGGTTTTAGCTCAGTTAAGCATGTGAGCAAGGTTTTAGCTCAGTTTAGTGCATAGCCGAGGTTTCAATTTGGTTAACACAAGCAAGGTTTTAGCTCGGGCAAATGCCTGAGCAAGGTTTTAGCTGTCATGTGCTTAAGCAATAATGCTAGCTTGGTCTTGTGTTTGCTGAGCTAGGCAGAAGCTTAGTTGAGGGATTGAGCTAGGTTTTAGCTCAGTTCCTTTGGGATTTCTCATATTAGCGCGGTAGCAAGTGGTTGTTAGCTCGGTTTGTTTCTTGGGGATGCTACAAATGCGAAGTTTTCTCAGTTCAATTGGGATTTTGAATAAAAAATATGGTTTTTTTCTTGGTTTTGCCCAAATCCCTTGGTGTTCATATCAATAATTAGATTGTGTGCAAATAAAAGAAAAATTATGGGTTGTTCAGGCTTTTAATTCAGTCTAAGGCTTTATTATGCCCAGATTTTGGCAGTGACTAATATCATAACTCCATTTTCAGAGCTAATTAGACGGTATGGGCTCAAGAACATCAAGAACAGTATGAATAGTAGTGGAAAAAGTATTGAAAAGTGTAGAAAACTCACGATTTAGGGCACAAAATCAGATTTCAATAGTGAAGATGCACCCCCGAAGATGGCGAATCAATTGATGTAGGAAAGACACCTTGATTTGAGTTTGAAATGCCAAAAATCAAAGGTTGAGTACTATGGTTCTTAGGGTTTGTGTTGAAGAAAAATATGAACAGTGTATGTGTTTTGAACATGTGTATATAGTATATATGTATGTAAGGTGAAATGGTGTCATGGTTCAAATTTTGGGGAGTCGTGCATGGTGGTTGTACCAGTTGCACAGATCTAGTGAGGGCGTGACACATGTTTTAGGCTTGCCACGTATCAATCAGGTCAGTGATATGGAGCGCCAAAAGACCGGGTAGATAATCGGATCGTGATAGAGTTTATCTCGGCTGAACAAAGTAAACCTAGTCATGCTTGCGCAGATGGAATTAAGGGGCAATTGAGAGAGAAATTTATGTTGTGATTAATGGGCCAGGTTAAATTAGGCTCTTGTGGTGAGTTAGGATATGGGTTGGAGATTGCTTAGTTTGGGCCGTGTGGGGGTCCAACTGGTCAAACAAGTTTGACTGAACACATTAGGTCCAAAGGGTTCATGGACCGAGCGTCTTTCCAATGGCGATCAAGGATCGAACCTATCTATGAAGACCGGTCAAACGCGATTTGGTGTAACATTTTGACCGAGCTAAGTGAAGAGACGTGCAACGTTAGCATGGTGGCGTGCCATGCTGGATTTGCACGGCGCTGCATGTTGCATAGTTGAATCAAATGTTGACAAGGTTAATGTAGTTTGGTTGCTCACCTAGAAGCCGTGCAAAGAGTTATGCCATCTTACTTGGTTTGTAGTGAGGAGGGTGTTAAAGGATGAGCGTTATCCTTTAGGAATGTGATTCCTAAGAGGATTTTATTAAGGAGAATTAGAGTCCTACTAGGATTTTGCCATGTGAAACTTATAAAAGCTCAAACCAAACCTAATTCCTGATATTGCAATAACTATTCCCGAATTCACAGAGCTTTTTACTCCTTGTTGATCCTATTTGCTAACTTAGGCTTCAGAGGGGTTTCCGGCACACACCTGCCGACTAACTCACGTTTGTGATTTCAGGTCGTACGACAATGTTTGGAGAAGTGTAAGTTTGATCAACAGGATTATACAAGTAATGATTACTTCGTGCTTGTACAGTAGCCAAATCATAGAACAACTAACATACATCATCGATCAACTTCAGTAATGGTCAAAGGAAACATCGATCGAAATCATAGAACACTTGCTAGTGAGTCGTTTTTGGGTGTAGCCCAAAACGACGTCACTCCACTAAACCCTATGTCCTCTCCATTGACGTGGTCCCTTCTTCACCGTTAGATCCATTCAATGCAAGGTGTCACCTCCTTGTTGAAAGTGCTGGACATGGCTGGACCAAGAAGGGCAGGAGAGGATAATAAGAAGGTGTTCATTAAGTGGGGATAAGCTCCCTTTCATACTTTCATTTCTCTATACCTCTCCATATCCTTTTTGTATGCCTTAATATGGACCTGCATCGATGATCCTAATCGTCTATCTCATAAGTATCGTAATAAAAGTCATTTATTCAAAAAATGAGCTTCATCAAAAAATTATGAACTTCAGAAAAAATTGCATTTTTTTTAATAAAATAAATGACAAATGTGATTGGGAATTTAAACCATCCATTTTATAAAATAAAATGTTTTTGTTCCTATGTTTATAATTTTTTTAATGAAGCTCATTTTTTGCTTGAATGACCTTTATTACAAAACTTACGAGATATACGGTTCAGATTATCGGTGTGAGTCCAAATTGAAACCTAAAAGAGGAGTATGGAAAGATGAACGTATGGAGGGGAGTCTATCCTAATTAGGGTATGTGCATTGCGCACTTTTAAAACTTTTTAAAATTAAAACAAAGGGTACTTTTTTTTTTCTTTTGGTATTATATGTTTGCTTATTTGTGCATTATATGTTCTATCTGTGCCCTGCACACTTTTAAAAAAAATAAAAATTAAAAATGACACATATTTGTCTATTTTACAAATCAAAAAATGCAGATTAATATTTATATAATTTTAAAATTTTAGCATGCCACAACTTTGCGCTCAAAAGTTGACAGTTTTTTTTTTTTTTTTTGATTTCACATATTTTTTTGCTTTAAATTTGAATTTTTTTCACTTGTGATTAAAAAATTATGTCACTCAATTTACACGGTGATATTTTTTCAATTTATGAATCATAGTTTGCATACCAAAGTGTTGCCATTGATTTCCTTGGCCATAATATACTTCAAATTAATTTCAAAATTGATTTATCTGTTGTTTTGCGCAGGTTTGTTTGTTAAATTATTTTTCTTTAGAATTTCATATTCAATATAACCCTCTGCTCTTGCAAACGTATTCTTATCTAATGGTAGAACTAATTCTAAATAATTTTGAGATTGTAAATAATGTTTTGTGATTATGTTGTGATTGATAAAAAAGTTCTCAAAAACAGTTCCAAACCAAAATAGACTGCATTTTACAAGTTCGGTCTAATTTGGTTTGGTACAACCATAGGTAATGGTTCAGTCCCTGATTTACTCCTAAACCGAATTAATTCGAGCCATGCTCACCCCTAATAAGTGCAGAAGAACTGCCCTATACATGTTCTTTATTCTGCAGTAAACAAGGAAACTAAATTTTGAATTAAACCATCCATCACACAGGTGTGAGTACTGCTTCATTCCTTTGAAATATATGCTTCGTTATCTTGACCAATTGGAAACTACAGAGTTGGTTACAAAAACACTTCAATTGTTAGGTTACTTCCTTTTCAGGACCCTCTTTGGTACAAGTCAGAGATGTCATCCAGGCAAAAAAAAGTTCAATAGTTGAGACTTTGAACCACTTAAGCAGAGTTACCATTTAAACACAATTAGTAATAAAGTTCATTCTTCAAGCATGGCCTTAGCAGCATCAATCAATATTGGTCTAAGATCAACAGAAGCCCTACCAAGCACAGTATAACCTTCCTTGTCCTCTACATCCACATTCGCTCCATGCCGTATCAGAAGGAGAGCTACCTGTCAACCAAACAGAAACAGAAAGAGATTTCGAAATGCTTCCTTTTGTCCTCAATTTTTTTCAGACAAAATAACAAAAATCTCAAGGCATATCTCTTTTTTTCCATTTCAAATAGTCATTCTGAATAACAGTACCAATTTCTAGTGGCAAAGTAGACACTAGATCAGAGTTGTGTTTGATGACAGAATAGTTAATATGGTAACAAAAGTTTCAGTTGAAAGCAGCATGTGGAATGCTAATCTTTACCATCTCCAATGGAAATGAAAACACATGCAACGCAGAATGCTAAACTTTTCCATCTCCAAGTATGGACCTGAGAGATGTATAGGCATTCCTTACCCTTTCAACAGAAGACAACAATGACTAAACAAGAGACAGAATTTTCATTTTCTTGCTCTCCACACACACACGCAAGGAACTTGAAAATGAAATCATATGTCAAAAGGACACATCAAAGCTGCATGCTATCATTAACCCAAAACATTTTTGAAAACGATGACATTCACAAACACATAATCAAGAGTCCTTAACATGAGAGGCTGGCCATGGATGAGTTTGAATTCCCCTAAAAAAATTGAAATTGAAGATTGAGGTGAAATGAATGAAAATCCAATTATTTCAAAATTTCATTTTTTTATTTTTTTATTGGCGCTAGGGTATCCGGATCAAAGCCCAACTAATCCCCAAGGGTTTATAGGCCCTCGGCAAGGAGTTTTCCGCAGGTGCACCACGGTTAATTCAAGGGTTTTTCCCCAGTTTGATGCCCCCAAGAAATTGTTAGCATCTAAGAGGTTTCGATCCTGAACCTTGGAGGGAGCACAGGGCAACCACTTGGGGTTTCAAAATTTCACTCTTTTAACAAGTACATTAAGGCGGTGTTTGGGAAGCAGTGGGATAGGCTATTTTATTGACTTACATTAAAAAATAAAATAAAAAAATTTAAAAAAAATGTAGATCGGCAGCCTACATTTTTTGGCACTGACAGCCTACCACTGTACTTGGCGGGCTGTCCCACCGGTAGTAAATTACACTTTTGCCCCTTTATATCAATTTTGAAAAAAGTGGGATTAAGGACAAATTTGTCATTTCAACCTTAAACATCATTTCAAACACATTTTTCAATACAACTCAAATAAAACTTCATCCCATCTTCCCAAACACAAAAACTAAAATAGCCAAAACGTCTAAAAAATAGCCACTTCCCAAACACCCACTAAGTTAGATGATAGTTGTGAAATTGACATACCACTGCCAATGGCATCACCACCACCACAAAGCTCTTTGAAAAAACACTAACATTGGCACAACAGCACCACTGGCATGGCTGCTATCGGTGTTGCCACTATCAGCACTACACAACTGACACATGTCACACACCATAATTATACTAATAGTTGATTAGCAAATTCTTGAAGACTAAAACTAACAAATTAAAAAATTTAAAATTAGGAATTGAACTAAAGATTTGGCCATCCAATATGTTACAGGGGCTTGAGGAAGTATAGAATTCAATCTGCTAGATATCCAGATGCTGGAATACAGAATTGGAGCTTAGAAAGCTCTTTCCAATCGAAATCCACCCTCAAAATACCCTAGAAGTTAAAGAAAGATGAGTCTGAAAGGCAACACAGACAAGTTTGTTTGGTAATACAACTCAATTCCAGATGGCCTTAATCTACTAGACAAATTGAAAATTAAGACAAATAGAACGCATGTTGCAATAGCTTAGGTTAACATAATTACATAAATAAAAATCCAATGAATTTTTTATGCATCAACGTTTTTGAGGATTTGATAACAATAATAATTACCTCTTTGTTTTCGCATATTACTGCACTCATTAGGGGAGTTTGACCTGCTTTATCAATAGCATCAACCTCAGCTCCTTCCTCAATTAAAAGTTCACACAACTCTGAGTTCCCTGTGCTTGCTGCACGATGCAAAGGGGTGCATCCAACCTAAAAGAAATTAAAATCAACCAAATACTGAGGGAAGAAGTCCAAGACCTATGCTATCTATCAGCAGCACAAAACAAGCTTAACGAAAGTATATATATATATATATAAGCAAAGAGGCACTAGTGTGATGTTACATGCCTTGTCCTTCAAATTGATATTTGCACCATGTGAAAGTAGAATTTCAGCTATTTTCAACCAACCCTTGCTAGCAGCATAATGAAGAGCAGTACGACCGCCATTATTTTTCAAATTAACATCAGCCCCTGTGCATTCAGCAGAAGTATAAAAATGTCGCTATTGATATACGATGATATCACTTTGACAAGAAACTACAAACTTTGGCTAAATGGCTAATTTGAACAAATAGAAAGAAAAAACTCCACGTATACTCAAGATAGATCCTATAAAAACACCAGCAAAAATTGTTCAATAACATTCATAAAACCAATTAAAGGCACAATTAGTAACACACTATCAGTTAATGGGTCACATCATGCACACCATTTCCCATAATAGTGCCAAATGTCTCAAGTACCTCAAAGAAAAAAGATGGTACTTGGGAGGCTCACCACATTGAGGTCAAAACATAGCAATCCATAAGCAAAGGACATACACCAACGATTGATGGATCAATCATCAAAGAATATATAAAACTCTATTCTTCATATTACAATTTACTCAGTGGAATATGATTCAAGAGTGATTCAATCAGAGATATCATTTTAATGTCGAAGACAAATAGGTGGTGTCACCAATTCATCTTTGTATTAATGATTTTTTTTCCCAAATCCATCCTACTTAATAATGTTTCTGTTGGAGTGATATGCATTGTTGGGTGCTTTCCTAATAGAGTAAGCTGTTGGGACTAGTGGTGAAAAGTTTTAGGCTCAAGTCTCTTTGTCTGCATTGGTTTTCCATGTACATTCTATATCTCTCTATGTTTGAATGATTGCATCTAGCTGTGCAAGTGAGGATTACACGTGAAGTAGGGTGTTAAAAAGCTTGACATGCATTGTTTGGTCCATTTCCTAACATGTCACAGTTTAAGCTTTTGAGACTAGTAGTCATCTAACATTCTCACACCCTTGACCACCCTTAAAACCTCACAGAAATTGGCATATTGAAGGTACAGCACACTGCACAGAATCAGCAAGCTGCTTGAACACAAAAACAAACAATTAAAAAGATAAAATGAAGAATTCATCCATTAAAGCAAGCTACACAAACAAACACACATATATGTTAAAGGTCTCCATGAAATAGAATCTCTCAAAATCTACTTCCTCTAATCTAAAAAGGGTACATGTGTTAGTCTGCACCATTAAATCTTGAATGATACCATATTAGTTACAGTTAATATAAAATAACCTTGCCAACCTTAAAATTCTCACAATAACTAAAGCAACAGCTCTGAGCGAGTGCTCTGGACTTGCAAGCAACCCATCACTCACATTTATGCAGTCTTCTTCTCCCAATTATATATTTTATTTTTCTCTAGAAAGATATATTTGTTCCTATGGCATACAACTAACTAGCTCGGACTTATTTTCGAGACCATCCAACACAAACTTGAAACAAATAATAGAAACTCTTTTGGAACTTGATAACAATTCCTTACCACTGCTGACCAAAATCTCCACAATTTCTACATTCCCACTGCTAGACGCGGAATGAAGTGGCGCCCAGCCCTCCTCATCCGCACTGTTTATACCAGTTACAGATGGATCTGCAGCTGATAGTATCTTCACAACCTAATCAATTCATTATAAAAATAAAAAAAAACATCAAGAACAAAATTTCAAAAACGGAATAGTACAATGCATGTCAACAAGAGCCATCAGATGAAAATTCGACTAAAAGGTTCGATTTTCCACAAAATGATCCTCAAAATCAACAGAAAATGTGTATGCCAAACTAATTATTGATTTAATTGCTCAGACAAACGTAGAATAAGTAAATAAAGACAAATCCTTTAAACCCTAACAATAGCTTTGGTAAGTAAAAAAGATGAATTGGAAGAGAGAAAGAGAGGTGGACCTTGGGGTGAGCTGAAGAGGCAGCGACGTGGAGGAGCGAGCGGCAATCTTCGTTCCTGAGAGAGAGGGCTTTGAGAAGCTGATCGTGTGAGAGAGCTTCGAAGAAGGAAGAGTCGCCATTTTCGGCGGCATTCAAGAAGTCATCGTTCTTGATTGCTTCTGCTCCGACTTCTGGCTTCTTCGGAGGATCGATTTCCATTTCCATTGAGACGCTTGAACTTCCACGCTTTAGGGTTGCTTCCAGGGTTTTGGCTATCATCCGTCCAAACTACGCTCGGTTTGGATTTTTAAGATATTTTGATTAATTATTTCTTTATTTTTTAATTTACTTAATTTCAGTTGATTCAAAGAGATTATTTATCCATGCCTTCGCTGCATCTTTTTTCTATTTTTCTATCACTTCTTGCTATATCTGAGGGTCGAATCTAGTAAAGTCTAAAAGGGTTCCTTGGTTTCACCGCATTTTTTTTCCCATTTTTCTAACACTTCTTGCCATATTGAGAGTCGAATTATCTGAGGGTCGAATCTAGTAAAGTCTAAAAGGGTTCCTTGGTTTCGCCGCATCTTTTTCCCATTTTTCTATCACTTCTTACCATATTGAGGGTCGAATCTAGCAAAGTCTAAAAGGGTTCCTTGGTTAGTTGTTGGCTGTAATTGTATACTTATATCTGGTTGTCTATGCTTTCTTTTCTTTTCTTTTTTTTATCGAAAAATATTAGTTGTTAGTTGTTAGATTAGCAGAGAGAAATTCTCTCTACCCTTGGCAAAGCATCTAAGTGCTTGCACACACTTAATTCAACCCCCCTAAAGAGAATTGAACCCATGACCTCATTGGGACTAAACTCTAAGGAAGGCATGGTAGCCGACTAGGCTCAGTGGCATGGCATGCTGCTGGCCTTGGCCTTGGCATGGCATGCCGCTGGTTTTGGCTGGGCTGCCTTGGCCGTGGCATGCCATGCTGCTGGCTTTGGCCTTGGCATGGCATGCCGTTGGCTTGAAAATCGAGCGACCCCGTCATTCGAATTGTAGTCTGGAGAAGCGTCCTCAACGGCGGACCGGGCCCAAGTCCCCTGTAAAGGGGCACCGGAGAGGATGAGAGCCCCATCGTGCCCGGACCCTATCGCACCATGAGGCGCGCCATGCCTTAGCCTTGGCCAACATGCCATGCCACGGCCCCGGCCTGCATAACATGTCACGGCCTCCGCTGGGCAACGCCGTGGCAAGGCATGCGGGCCGAGGCCGTGGCATGGCATGTTGGGCCGAGGCCGTGGCAAGGCATGCGGGCCGAGGCCGTGGCATGGCATGTTGGGCCGAGGCCGTGGCAAGGCATGCTGCTGGCCTTGGCCTTGGCATGGCAAGGCAGTAGCAGGTACGCCCCATGTTGGGCGCGGCCTGGGCTGCGGCCTTGGGTGGCATGCACCGCGGCTCGACCGCGGCCTGAGCCGCGGCCTTGGGCGTGGCATGCCGGCCGAGGCCGTGGCATGGCATGTTTGGTGTGGGGCCCACAAAATTGCGGACCCCACACCCATGTGAGACATTTGGTCATTTGTTTGGTAGAAAATTTGGTATCCCTAGCATTACCCGTGCTTGCACACCCTTAATTCAACCCCCCTAAGGAGAATTGAATCCATGACCTCCTTGGGACTAAACCCTAAGGAAGGCATGGTGGCCAACTAGGCTAAGCCTAGTTGGTTTTGTCTACACTTTCCATGAAACCTGTACCTTTTATTTGGACCTACTTTACTACATCATGTATTGGTTAATGGTCTTTTTCCTCCTACTTCATAATGCATTGGTTCTACAGGATCTTCTACCGTAGGTTGTGGGTTGCTAGTTCCTGTACTTTCGGTTGTTTGAGTGTTCATATAAAAAGTATCTTCTAAGTTAAATCGTTCAGGCATTTTAAATATTTTACTTGAATGTATTTTATCTTCTAAAATAGCATCTACATATTCTGTATGAAATTCTTGGTCTAAAAATGATACTGCTTCTTCATGGGTATCTCCCCTAACTATATATTCATAGTAACTAGTATCTAATACTTTATTCATATCACTTAGGGTGAAATTTTCCAAATATATCTCATCAATATTATATATCTTATTTTGTGATATTGTTTTTTCCTCTGTCATCACGTAAAGTGGATTTATGTTACTATGATTATCTTGACTTTCTTCTCTATCTACATTACTAAGTTCGTCATCTTCGGATTTTTTTGGTGCTACATATGTGTATTGAGTAAATTTTACTGCATAACTTCTATCTTCTTTTTGATATAATAAATTATCTTGAGGGGCTAACGTCTTTTGTCCTAGGCAAACTCCTAAATTCCAATCTAGTGCTGCATTATCTTCAGAATTATATTTTTTAGCCGGTAGTGCCTTAATTCCTTTTGCGCCTGATATCTTAACTATTTGATCATTTGTAAGTCTATAATGGGTATTACTTTCTGAGACTGCTAGGCCTAAAAACCCTGTGCAAACTAATAAATTATTTTCTCCTTTTTTCATTTTATATCCTCTACTTTATATTCTTATTTTTATCTTTTTATGAAAGGTCGAAGTCGGTAAAAGGAAATCTGGTGTAAAATAAACTATCACTTCTTTTGAATTCATATCTAATTCATAGCTGCCTAAAATACTTTGTCCTACATCATTAAACCTATCATCATAAAGACATACAAAAACTTTAGCTCCAATTTTCTCTAGTTAAAGCCTTAACTCCTATTACAACTAATCCCAAGTGAGTCATTTTAAGGTGTTCATTTACAGTATATTTATAACTTTCTTTATTTATTAAATTTAGCTCTATCTTTTATCTTCCCGAGTTACACTAATCGTTTGTTCACCATAGTGTTTAAATAAATATTTTTTTTTATGATTTTTTTCCTAACTTATATACATATTTAGCTAGAATTAACTCTAGCTTTTCCTTTTTAAATTTTTCTATTTGTTGTTCCACATTTATAAATTCTTCTAATTTAACATCTTCATCATCGCTACGCTTTTTACTACTACTTCCTTTTACTAACTGTTTAATCATTTTTATTTTCTATGGGTTCTACAAACAGGTTTCTTTGGTAATTTAAGCTTTTCAAAATATTTAGCTATATCTTCTTCGTTTATTCGAGATTGGGCTTTACTTGCTTGTGCATCTATTCCTTTTCCTTTTTGAAGTATTAATCTTTCTATCGAAACTAAACGATTTTCTCAATTGTGTAATTATTCTGATAATTCTTCAAATTTTTCACACAATTGAATGAGAAATAAAATTTCTATATTTTTTTCTTCTGATGTTTTATCTGACTGATTGATTCCTTGATAGCTACTAATTCCTTCTGGGTTATTATGAAAGTCTTCTGCTTGTTTTAAAATAATTTGATAATCTCTATTAGCCTTTTTATCACTACTCATAAATTAAGATCTTATTAGTTGCTCTAAAATTTCTAATTTTTGTTTTAAATTATCTTGAATTTGGTTGATCTGTTCTATTTGTCTAGCTATTTGATTTATTTGATAATGAATTTTTTTTAATTAATTGCATAAATTCTAACTCTATTTGCTTCGAGATATTAATATTTATGGTTGAAATTAGAGTTTTTATTTCTAGCTTGGTGGGAAATTTTTCTAAATTTAAATCGATTCGTTTTTGTAGGATTGAACTATACTGATCTTGGATATAATCTAATTTTTTGTCTTGATCTTTAATTATACTGCGAGTATTACGAGATGGTCTATATATGAAGTAAAAAGATTACTGATTTTAATATGTCTTTTTTTAATATTTTCTGCAAAATTAATCTGATGATCTATAATATTATTTAGTTGAGAATTACGTTCGCTATGAAGCTGATGTGTAAAAATACCTTCAAAATTACAACGAAATTTATTTTTATCTATATTAAGACGATGGTTATGATTGCTGAGTTCTAAATCTAAATATTCTACTCTTTTCATACACAAAATTAAATCCTACTTTAAAATTATTAAAAGCTACTATAATATGAAATTTATAACTAAATTGTCCAAAAATAAAAACTACTCTATTTCCGTAAACAAAATGCATAAACTAACTTAAACTGTCCTAAAACTGAACACTGCTCTGATGCCAATTTTTTGGGGAGTGAGTTAGTGGTTTACCACTATTTTGAAGTTGGGCTGAGAATTATCTAATTAATTCTTCAGTTATGCTAATAAATCCTCAAGCTATTGTATGGATAACTGTAAGGCTTCTTGTTTTATAATTATCTGTCTACTTATTTGTGTGATTTTCAGACTATAATGTACTAGGGATTTACCGAAGGCTAATGATAACAGAAATTGATATATTAGTTTTTGATCTTCTAATTCTTGTATAAGCTCAGTACTAGATCTAATTTTAATTCTAAGTTCTTCTTCTAAAAGCATAGAATTTTGATTTTAAAATTCTTATATGAAAAATATTTCCTTGATATTTCTACTTAGGTTGCTCTCCTTATATTCTAAATTCTTTTTCTTATTTGGTAAAACTCTTTTTCTTATTTGGTAAAACTCTTTTTAAGCAATGTTTCCTTTCATTACATGTACTCCCACCTTGAAGCTATGCCCCATTTAGCATAGTATATTTTTATTTTCTATTCCTTACCTTTCCCTTTCTGCCTACAATTTACCCTCAATGCCAAACCACAGCTCACACGGGTTTATCAGCTAAGGTCACTCAATAATGAAATAGAAAACAATATATACTATGAAGGTTCAAAGCATGTAATATTATTGAGCAGGCAAGCATTCCATAAACTTAGTTTTTCCAAAAAGAAAATAAATTTTAGAATAGAAGAGTTATCCTTTTGAAATATCTAAGGAAAAAGAGAGACTACTCACACTTCATATTAACATGTAGTATACTTACAAAGATTATGTTACAGACTTTAAGATTCTCAAAGGCTTCAACACTTAGAATTTTTTAGACAAGAATCTGAGAAGTTGGGAGAAATTTTTGCAAAGAACAGTGGAGGGAAAAAATTTTCATTGCATCTTCCGTTGGCATGAATGGCAATTTATACAATACAATAGAAAGATAAAAACAAAAACACAAGACCTAGACTTAATGCCTATCTCAAACTTACGGCCAAACTTTTCACAAAAGTCTAAGACCAAGTCAAGCCTAGTCATAGGCTTTTTCAAAAATTGCTACATATAATAAATAAAAGGACTTTGTGCACAATTATATGCATATTTTTGACAAACTTCCTACTACTCTAAACACATATAAAAACAAATATAGGGTTAGGATAATGATGTCGGGT